GGGGAGGCCTCCCCCAGCACTGGGGCGGGTGCAGGGCCGAGGCCACCTACCCACGCGGAGCACGAAGTCGTTGTAGGACTGGTAGTTGATCTCGTCCAGGACGTGGAACATCTCGAGGGCGAAGTCGGCCAGCGTGCCCAGGTGGGCGGAGACGCACCTCTTAGCCTGCACGTGGCGGACACGGGTGTCACATTGGGGGAAATGAGGGCGGAGGGGCAGGGGCACCCACAGGCCAGCTGCCGGGGGCGGGACCAGACTGTAGCCCCAGTGGGATCGGGACCCACACCCACCAGGCAGCCCTCCGCGCGGGCCGTTCCGGGGCCCGGGAATGGCTCATCTTCATCAGGGGTTTTCGGCACCTGCAGCCCCTGGGGGTGCTCAGCTCCCCACCGCGCAGGTAGGGGCCGGAGATGGAGGCGCGGAGGTCAGCCCGGGGGTCTGCCGGGTGCTGATACCAACCCTGTGATTCCCAAAGTGGGCGCTACCGCCCCCCGGTGGGCACTGCAGCGATCCAGGGGGGCGGTGATGGCCACAGGTGCATTTGGGGGCGATGAGTAACTGCTATTAAAATTTTAAAAAAATTAATTTCCAGGGGCTGAGTAATATTTTTTCTGGAAAGGGGGTGGTAGGCCAAATAAGTTTGGGAACCACTGTACCGACCGTAACCGGCGTCCGCCTGGCGCGTCTCCCGCTTTCCTCCGGGTGTGGGTCTGTGAGTGACCTCCCTCATCGCTACCAGTGACCCTTTCTCTGTCTGGTGGCTTTTAACGTCTGCTTTGTCTGAAACTGAGGCAGCTGCTTGCATTTTTTTATTACCGCCACCACGGTGTATCTTTCCACCTCCTTTTATTTTTAATGTATCTCCGTGTGGGGATATTTTAAAAAAATATCTCTTGATATTTTTTTAAAACTGTTGTTTCTTGTGGAAAACCTAGTTGGGTCTCTTTTATAAGCCTCTCTGTCCGTCCGTCTTCTACTTGGTGCGTTTACCATTCCCATTAGAGGGATTGCTGGGCCCCGGCCGGTTTGGCTCAGTGGACAGAGCGCCGGCCCAGACAGAGGGTCCTGGGTTCGATTCTGGTCAAGGGCACGTACCTCGGTTGCAGGCACATCCCTGGCCCCGGTCGGGGCGTGCGGATCGGGAGGCAACCAGTCGATGTGTTTCTCTCACAGCCATGTCCTCCTCTCTGTGTCTCTCCCTCCCACGCTAAGATCAACGGGAAAATGTCCTCGGGAGGATTAACAATAACGTAAATAAATAAGGGGTTACTGGGGCAGGTGGACTGGCGTCTGCCACTTCCACGTCTGCTTTCCACTCGTTGCATTGTTTGCTCTTCTTCCTCTTTCCTGCCCTTTTTTTTTGGGGGGTGGAGGGGGACAGCCTGTGGACTTGACCCTCAGCTCTGCCCTGGGGCCGGGGACGCTCGGGACGGGCCTCTGGGCCGACTCCCAGCAGGAGGCCGTGTCTGGAGAGAGCCGGTCGCTGACG